GAAGGGCGTTTTACGGAGCCGTCCGAGGCCAGATCGTGGAGATGTCTCATGCAGCTTGCTTGCTTGGTTGCTGGGGCTTCGCCGCTGTCAAAGCACGCGAGGCGCTGGCTTCGGCACCCCAAGGCGGGCCGCCAGGGGGCACTGCACGGAACCGTTCGCGGCCAGATTCTGGGGATGGCTCAGACGGCGCTTTCAAAGCCTTTGCATCGCTCGGACGTGTGCATTTTTCTTTCGGCTAGAGCCATCGAGAAGCATCCTCGATCATTTGGCGAAGAAAACACGCACGAAACCGAACAAAAAACACAGGGAATGGACGTCCGAGCGATGGCCAGAAGCAGGCTGCGAGACTGCCTCCCGCGAGGCGGCGGTTTCCGCATCCCGAGGAGGGCCCGCCATAATGGGGGGGTACTGCACGCGACCGCTCGCGGCCAGCTCGTCGGGATCTCTCCGGCGGTCTGCGTGCCTGGCTGCTTGGATGCGTGCGTGCTTTCAGAGCAGGCTGCGGAGGGAGGGAGGAGGGAGGAGGGAGGAGGGAGGAGGGGGGAGGGAGGAGGAAGGGGGGGAGGGAGAGGGGGAGGAGGAGGAGGAGGAGGAGGAGGAGGAGGAGGAGGAGGAGGAGGAGGAGGAGGAGGGTGCCACGAGCGAGGCCCCGGCTCGTCGGAGCACCCCGCGCGGAGGGGGCCCGCCCGAGAGCACCTGCACGGGCCCGCTCGCGGCCGGATGGCGTGCGGATGTGCCTCGAGCGGCCTGCCTGCCTGGCTGCCCGGACGTCGCTGCCTCCCCAGACCCAGACCCCCTCGAGTAATGAAAAAAACATGACGGGAGGTTTTTCCTAATTTTCGGCCTCCGGGGGCCCTCACCGGGCCTCGGGAGCGTCAAAAAACGACTCAGGACGAGAAACCGGTCATGGGGAAATGGTCGGGACCTCTGGGGGTCGACGTAATGAAAAAATCATGACGTCGGGGGTCTGGGGAGATCGGGGCCTAAGAGACGGGGGTCAGTGCAAACGGGGGTCAGCCAGAGCGCCAGATCCTGCAGGATCCTGCGACGACCCCCTCTGGCTGACCCGGGTCAGCGAGGCGCTCGTGGCCGCGAGGCGGCCGCGCGTATTGGCTGACCCGGGTTTGCGAAGACCTGCGTTGCAGTTTTTTTTCCTGCACTGCAGTTTTTTGGTTTCCTGCTGACCCGGGTCTGGATTGACCCGGGTCAGAAGATCCCCGAAGAGATCCAACGCATTGAAAAAATCAAGGCGGAGGTTTTTTCCAAGATTTCGGCCCCTATAGGGGCCCTCGCCGGGCCTCGGGAGCCTCAAAAAAGGACTCAGGATGAGAAACCGGTCCTGGGGAATGGGTCGAGACTTCGGGGACGTCGCTGCCTCCCCAGAGATCGGGGCCTAAGAGACGGGGGTCAGTGCAAACGGGGGTCAGCCAGAGCGCCAGATCCTGCAGGATCCTGCGACGACCCCCTCTGGCTGACCCGGGTCAGCGAGGCGCTCGTGGCCGCGGGGCGGCCGCGCGTATTGGCTGACCCGGGTTTGCGAAGACCTGCGTTGCAGTTTTTTTTCCTGCACTGCAGTTTTTTGGTTTCCTGCTGACCCGGGTCTGGATTGACCCGGGTCAGAAGATCCCCGAAGAGATCCAACGCATTGAAAAAATCAAGGCGGAGGTTTCCCCAAGATTTCGGCCCCTATAGGGGCCCTCGTCGGGCCTCGGGAGCCTCAGAAAACGACTCAGGATGAGAAACCGGTCCTGGGGAATGGGTCGAGACTTCCGGGGACGGCGTATTGAAAGAATCACGACATCGGATCTCTGGGTCCCCAGACCCCCGACCCGAAGGGGGCGCGGCGCTGGCGCGCGCAGGGGCGCTTCGTACCCTGACCTTCCAAGAGGGCTACAAAATAGCACCTGACCTAAAAACCTATCCCAGAGCTATTCTACGTCTTGATTTTAGGCTGTTTCGTTTAGTTTTTAGGTTTTTAGGTCTCCAGTGCTAGAAAATAGCTCTCTGGAAGGTCAGGGTAGCCCCGACGCCACGATTCCCCAATCAGTGCCTGCACGGAGGGGGTCCCGGCGGAGATGGAAGGAGGAGGCGAGTATTTCACGCCGATCTGGGTGGCAGGCCGGGTTCCCGGGGTCCCGGGTTCCGGTTCCTGGGTTCCAATTTCCCGGGCCGATTTCGGTTGGCGGCGAGGTTCCCGGGTTTCCGGTCGATCTTCTTATCGATCGCATCGATCTCATTTCCCACTTCTCCATCGATCCCACCATCGATCTCACAATTGATCTCACAATCGATCTCGCAAGCGATCTCACTAGATATCGCACGCCTTGTCGACCTCATCGAATCGATTTCACTCTCGGTCTCACGATCGACTTTACAATCGTCAACTATCGATTCCACTATCGATCTCATTATCGATCTCACAATCGATCTCAAGATCCATATGACGGATGTTCAAATCATCCACTGATTGGGTTTTCTCAGGTGTAATTATTTCATGGTGTCGACCCCAAGAGTGCTCGAGCCATTCCCCGGGACCGGTTTCTCATCCCGAGTCGTTTTTTGACGGGCCCGAGGCCCGGCAGAAAATAATGGAAATCTGTCCATCATGATTGTTGTCATGACCCGAGGGGGTGCGGCGTCGGCGCGCGCGCAGAGGCTCTTGACACTGGCTTGATCGTTCATCTTGGAGTCGATCGTGGCCCCGATTGTTCCAGGCTGGACTCCGTCGGGCCCAGCGTCGTCACGGTGCCCCATCAATGCTTCCGCGTCGCAGAACTCGACCTTGAACGCCTTCCCTGAGATCCGACGTTGCAAAACAATTGCAACATTGCAGCAAATCACAACCAAGGCCCCAGGCCCCCGACGTCGTTCCCCAATCAGTGCTTGCACTCAAGGGGTCCTAGCGGACGTTGAAAGATTTGGCGAAAGATTCCCGCCGATTGTGGTAGCCTGGGTCCCTGGTTCCGGGTTCCCGGGTTCCCGATTATTGGTTCCGGGCCGATTTCGGTGGGTTCTGGGTTCCCTGGCTCCCGGGTTCCCGGTCAATCTCCCAGCGAAAACCATTCTTTGATTGGGGCTTTTTTTTGGTGTAATATTGTTTCATGACGTCGACCCCCCAGAGATCTCGACCCATTCCCCGGGACCGGTTTCTCGTCCTGAGTCGTTGCTTGACGGCCCCGACGGCCGGTCGGGGCCTCCAGAAGCCGAAACTGAGGAAAAACGTCCCGTCGTGAGTGTTTCATTGCCCGAGGGTTCCAGCCTGGAACCTATCCCTATCCCTAAGCTGGGCATCGCCCCACCACAACTCCAATCTCAGGGAGCCCCTTACTTTTGAGGGCGCCTCCCTGAGATTGTCATCTCCTTTTGGCGTGTCAATCTTAGGGATAGGGATAAGTTCCCAGACCCCCGACGTCATGATTTTTTCATGACGTCGACCCCCAGAGATCTGGACCCATTCCCCGGGACCGGCTTTGCATCCCGAGTCGGTTTTTGACGCCCCCGAGGGCCGGTGAGGGCCCCCGGAGGCTGAAAATTACCAAAAACCTCCCGTCATGATTTTTTCATTACCCGAGGGGGTCTGGGAAGAGGGGGTCTGGGTCCAGAGCACACTGAGAAGGTGTCTCGAGCGAGGCGCGGCCCCCCAGAGGGGGGGGGGAGCCGCCGGGGGTCCGGCCGCGCGGCCCGTCGCGCGCATGCCTGTTGGGGCGTCGTCGCAGGCGGGGTGCCCGCTCGGCGGCTCGGGCGCCGCTGCTTCCGGTGTCGGGGCCAGGGGGCCGTGTGGAGGCCAGGGCAGATCGGGAGGAGGTCCCGAGGGAGGCCCCCAGGAGGAGGAGGAGGAGGAGGCGGAGGAGGAGGGGGAGGGGGAGGAGGGGGAGAAGGAGGTTCACCTCTTCCCCCCCGTCCTCGTTCTGCCCCCCCCTTCCTCATCCTCTCCTTCTCCTCGTCGCCCTCTTCTCATGCGTCTCCCCTTCGACTTCGTCCTGCTGTTCTTCCTCCTATCACTCCCCTCCTCACTCGTCTCCTCTACAATACGACTATCGATATCTCTGTCGATCTTACTGTCGATCTCACTTTCATTATCGATCTCATTATTGATCTCACTATTGGTTTCACTATCGATCCCACTATCGATCTCACTATCGCTCTCACTATCGATCTCAATATTGATCTCACTATCGATCTCACGGGACACCACGGGGCACCGCGGGACACACCACGTGACACCACGGGACACCACGGGACACCAGCGGGACACCAGCGGGACACCGCGGCGGGACACCGCGACCCATCGACACACCACCAGGACACCATCGGGACACCAATCGAGACACCGAGGGACACCACGGGACACCACGGGACACCACCGGATGATCGAGACACCCCCGGCATCCGCCCGCCACGCGGCCGGGGGGAGGGGGGATTTCTTGCTTCGTCGCGCCCTAGCCAGAGGAGGGTTCATTCTTCTCGCCCGCCCACGCAGCTCCGCCTCGCCCGCACGCAAAAAAACGAAACCGAAACCGAAACTGATTTCCCCGCGGGCGGCTCTCGGTTCCAATTCGATCTCACCCCTTCAGCTCCGATGCTCACGGGTAAACACTCTCAGCGAGACGTGCCAGGAAATGAGATACAGTCAACTCGCATAGGAAGGACGGGCAACCTTCCCAAGGGCACCCCTGCACCCTTTCCTTTCCGGCCCAGCCTTGGCCACTTGCGTTGGCCGCGCCCGGCTCGAGAAGTTTCGAAAGGGGCGTCCAAGGCCCTTGCATCCCTCTCGCGCCTCCTTACCATACGGTTAAGTCGGGCGTGTCCCTCTACAGGGGGAATCTTCAAGAATAGTCGAGAAATAGTGTGGGAACGATGTTTTGACTATTTTTGAGCATTTGGGGGGTATGTTTGCGTATCTGTTTTTTTTTTGTCGCCCAAAATCCCCCTGTAGGGGGGGCACGCCCGACGTAACTATACGGGCCGACCGTGCACATGCACCGAGCAATTCCTCGCAGGAGGCGTCCAACACGCTGTACGCCCTGGCGCTGCTGCGCCAGAGGTGCGAGGCTCCCGGCCCCCTCGAATTGAGTCGGGCCTGTCCCTTTACAGGGGGCATATTCAAACATCGCCAAAGAACTAGTCTGCGGACTATTTTTTGGCGGATCTTTGTCGGCATTTTGGGGGGCATTTTTGGGGGTATTTTTGATCTTTCGCTCAAAACCCCTCTGTAGGGGGACGTGCCCGACCTAACCCTCAGACTGGCCCCGAGATCCGGGCGTTGCACTTTTTCACACTCGGCGTTTTCGCCCGGCTTCGGGCCCTCGGACCATCGCGGATCGATCCGGCTCGACACGTGGCGTTCCAAAGATGGCCCTGTCCAAGGAGTTGTCATCGCTTCCGCCGCGGAAGGCGGCGGAAGGCCGGCGGAAGTAATGCGAGGCCGCCTCCGCCGGCGGAAGCCAGTTTCCTCGCAGAAGCGCCATAAACATAGATTTTCGGAGGCGCCGCCAGGGGGCCCAGCGCAGATCCAGGAAATCCGCGCGGAGCGCTGAAAGTCTATGATTATGCAGTTGTGTCTTCTTCTGGTCCGGGCGGACGCGGCGGACCATCACGGATCGATCCTGCTCGGCACATGATGCAGAATGACGGAGTCGTGCTGTCTACGATGCCGTGTTTTTCTTCGTGGCGTGGGCCCAGGGGGCCGTCCGGCTCTGGGGGAGGGGTGGGAGGATCCGCTTGGCGGCTTGGGGGCTCGGAGGCCCCTTGATCCCATTGGACGCGTCTTGGGCCCCGTGGTATCTTGGAGACGTTTTGGGGAGCTTGGGCGACACAGACAAGAATTGTGGATTTCGGAAAATGTGCGGGAAAATATGGGCCCGGGGGGAGTTCTTTGGGAAAAAATTGGAAAACCAATGGGAATCCTCTCTTTGCCAGGCACCCCTGTGTGAATCGGGCCCCTACGGCGGTCGTCCCCCCCTAGGCCGACCCCGCCCCCCCTGCCTCTGTGGATCGCCTGTGGGCCGAAGTTCAGGCCAGGCCGCGAAATAGGAACCTGTGCCCCCGATTTTTTTGGAAAGCGAAGGGGATACGTGGGATCTTGGGGTATCTTGGAGCCTGGAGGGATTTTGACCCTTTCGGGAGGAGGAGGAGGAGAGGAGGAGGGAGGAGGGAGTCTTAAGGAGGATGAGAGGTTCTTGGGAGGAGGAGGAGGAGGAGGAGGAGGGGTCTGGGTCGCCGATGCATCTGCGATGCGGTGCGGACATCGGGCCCCACCTCCGCGGCGCGCCCCGGGGGGGGAAGCCAGAGAGGGGGCAGGGCCTCCGAGCAGGCGGCGTTGGCCTCGGAGCGCAGCCGCCCCGTGGCCTCGGATGGCCTCGGAGAGGGCTCACGGAGACTTCTCCGAGGACGCGAGGGCCTCTGAGAGCCCTGACCTTCCAGGGAGCTATGTTTTAGCACTGGAGGCCTACAAACCTAAAAAACTCAACGAGAAACAGCCTAAGACCAAGACGTAGAATAGCCCCGGGATGAGGTTTTTAGGTCGGGTGCTATTTTTTGTTGGCCCTCCTGGAAGGTCAGGGGAGGGGGCAGGGCCTCCGAGAAGGCGGCGTTGGCCTCGGAGAGCAGCCGCCCTGTGGCCTCGGAGAGGGCTCACGGAGAGACTTCTCCGAGGGCGCGAGGGCCTCTGGGAAGCCCCGCCGCCTCACGAGTTTTCGGGGTCGTCCCTCGGCGCCTCTCCGGCGGCCGTTCCGGACGATCCAGGCCCCTCCGGAGCGCTCCCGGCGAGGTGCAGCTGCCGGAAGGCACCCCGCGAGGCTGGAGCACCGACGAGAACCACCGAGAGCACCCGGATGCCTCGCCTCGCGGCTCGAAGACGTCCAAGCCTCGACCACCTCCGATCCTCGAGGCGCAGCTGATTTCAGCCACCCTGGGGACCGGGACCTGCGGAAGCGTCAGAAGCCCCCCCCCCCCCACACCCCCGACGTCATGATGTTTTGCCTTTCGTCGCTCAAGCGGCTCTTTTATCTCCTCCTCTTCCGCCTCCTCCTCCTCCTCCTCCTCCTCCTGCCCCTCCTCCTCCCCCTCCTCCTCCCCATGGCGCGACCCCCAGAGCTCTCGACCCCCTCCTGCGTCGTTTTTCGGCAGTCCCGAGGCCAGGGAGGGCCCCCGGAGGCCGAAGATGGCGACGAACCTCCCGTCGTGCCGTTACCATGACTCGAGGGGGGCAGGGTTTTTTAGGGGAGCAAAAAGAAAAGTCACATAAACAAAAACCCTCGATCCAAAAACCCTGACCCCCTCGATACAAAAAAACGTATACAAAAACCGTATACAAAAACCGTATACAAAAAAGTAGGGGAGCACAAAAAGTCACGTAAACATAAAAACTCGGAGTTCCGCGCGGATTTCTCGGATCGGCGTTGGGGCCCCCCGGCGACGCCTCCGGCGCCGCCCCTGGCGCGCTCCGCGCGCCAGGGAGGGGGTCCAGCGCCGATCCGAGACATCCGCGCGGACCTCCGAGGTTTAATGTTTATGTGACTTGTTGTTCCCCTATTTTTTTGTATACGGTTTTGTATACGTTTTTTTTTGTATCGAGAGGGTCAGGGTTTTTATATCGAGTTTTTTTTTCTATTTCTGTTGCATCGAGGGGGTCCGGGTTTTTGTGTACGGCCCCGAGGCCTGGGAAGGGCCCCCCAGAGGCCGAGAATGGTGCAAAAAACCTTCCGCGTCGTGCTTGCTGCGCAGCGCGAGGGGGTCTGTGGGCCCCAGCCCCCGAGGCCGCTCTCCCCCCGGGGCGCGCCGGTGGCCATCGAGGCTCGGGCCCCCCTTGCGTGAAGTCGGGCGTGTCCCTCTACAGGAAGATTCAAAAGTACACCTTAGGTGATGCTTAAGAAAACTCAAGTTTTCGACCAGAGTCTCGATTATTCTTAATGTTTCAATGTAGGTCCCAAGATTTTAATAGAAATGTTGGGTTTTAATTCAAGTTCTGAGACTATGAATTTCTTAACCCATGATTTCTTAAGCATTTCGCTGGGTGTAGGCAAAACATCATCTGTGTTGCAGTTGCAGTTGCAGTTGTAGTTGTTGTTTGCAGTTGGCAGTTGTTGCAGTTGTTGCAGTTGTAGCAACAAGTCGCAGTTGTTCGTTTTGTTGCAGTTGCAGTTGTTCAAGAAGTCCGTTCTTGTTGCAGTTGTTTTGACGATGTTTGAACATGTGTTTCGCACGTCTTATATTTCTCGTTCAACGTCCGCCTGTTGGGGGGGCATGCCCGACCTGCATAACCTTGGCATCGCTCGGACGTGTGCAATTTTCCTTCGGCGAGGACCATCGAGGAGCATCCTTGATCATTTGGCGTAAAAACCAACGCACGAAGCCGAAAAAAATCAGGAGGGAAAGAAACACACAGACACAATTAATCGACGATCCCCAGGAAAATATGGGAAAATATGGGAAGTGGGGGGGGAGACAAAAACCCAGAAAATATGCGAAAATATGGGGAAGTTTTTTATTTGTGTGTATTTATTTGTGTGTCCCAGGGCCCCTTCAAAAAAGCACAGGAAATGGACGTCCGAGCGATGGCCAGTAGCCCTTGCGGGAGCTCCGCCTCTGGAGGCGGCGCTGGCGGGCGTGTGCGGCCGGGCCCAGGGCGCGCTGCCGGAGTTCAGCCCGCAGGGCCTGGCCAACGCGGCGTACGCCCTCGGGCTCCTCTCGGGCGGGTGGTATGATGGTAGCCAAGACTCAGAGCCCCGAATCATCAGGGGTAACTCGGGTCAGGGATAACTCGGGTTCGTTTTTCGGGAATCCAAACCCGAGTTACCCCGGACCCGAGTTACCCCGGATAACTCGGGCGTCCAGAGCCCCGAATCATCAGGGGTAACTCGGGTCAGGGCTAACTCGGGTTCCTTTCTCGGGAAACCAAACCCGAGTTACCCCGGACCCGAGTTACCCCGGATAACTCGGGCGCCCAAAAGACCTCTTCGCGCTGCGAAAAAAAACAAAAAAAACTCGACGGGAGGTTTTTCGCCATCTGCGGCCTCCGGGGGCCCTTCCCCCGCTTCGGGGCCGTCAGGAAACGATTCGGGAGGAGGTACCCGTGCTGGGGAATGGGTCGAGAACTTTTTAGGGGTCGACGTCATGAAAACATCATGACATCGGGGGTCTGGGTACGGTAGGTGCGGGCGGCGTTGGCGCGCCGGCGACGCTGGCGAACCTTCAGATCCTTATACGCTGCAATTTTGCCACACCGGGCGTTTTCGCTCACTTTCGGCCCCAGGACCTTCACAGATTGATCCAGCTCGTAATATGACGCAGAAAGGTGGGGTCTGGGGCTTTGGTCGTGATTTTGTTGCAATGTTGCAATTGTTTTGCAACGTCGGGTCTCAGAGAAGGCTTTCAAGGTTGATTTCTGCGACGCGGAAGCACCGAGGGACACTGTGACGCCACTGGGCCCGACGGAGTCCAGCCTTGAACAATCAAGGCCACGATCGATTCCAGGATGAACGATCAAGGCGGTGCCAAGAGCCTTTGCGCGCGCCGACGCCGCACCCCCTCGGGTCATGACAAAAATCATGACGGAAGGCTTTCCGTTATTTTCTACCTCCGGGGGCATTCACCGACCCTCGGGCCCGTCGAAAGACGACTCGGGATAAGAAACCCGTCCCAGGGAATGGCTCGAGCAATCTTGGGATCGACGTCAAGTAATCATGGCGTCGGGGGTCTGAGAATGGGGGGTGACCTACAGGGGGGATGAAGAGCAGGGCCCTGAAGGGGCCCTTCTCCTCGGTGTTCGATCGTGGACCCTTTGTCAACCGCAACTATCCAGCTTTCGCGCCGAAGACCGCCAGAAAAACGCCAGGGACCCGCGAAGACCGCCAGAGTGCCGCCAGAAGACCGCCGAAGACCGCCCCGGGCTGGTGGGCAACAAGGGGCCCATCGTCGAATACAGGCGGACCGAGGCATAAGACCGAGATCGGCTCGGGGAGGCTACTCCAGAATGTTCCTTGTGCTTTGGGAATGTTCCTGTGCATCCTCGGCAGGGGATGCCCTCGGATGCTGCGCGTGTGTTGGCCAGCGGAAACTCTCGTGTTGACCCAGGTCCGACTGCAACTGTTCTTCGCCCGCCCCCGGGCAGGTCACCCCCCGTGTACCGCCCGCCCGATCCTCGAGTACGGGCCCCCGCCGCTCCTCGGGGCCCTGTGCTCCCACCTGCCGTCGAGGCTGGCGGCCTTCAACGAGCAGGAGTCGAGCAGGGGATCGACGGCAGAACTGATCCACACTCTGGTCTCTGGTCGTTGGAAGTACGTATCGACGACGCCTGCGGCGAATCGCCGCCGCCCCCCTGCCCTGTGGAATCGCCCATGTGGCCGAGCGTTGTGACAGGAGCTCTGCCAAGTTATCGGACCATGTGTTCCCCGACCGGTTGGAAAGCCTTCGGGGACACATGGCCGGAGAGGATTGATGGGCATCTTGAAGGAGTCATCTTGGCCGTCTTCGGAGGCCTCTTGGGCCTCTTGGGCAAGCTGTGGGCGATCTTTGGGGCTTTTTGGGCCGTCTCGGGCCAGCTTCGAGCCAACTTCGGCCATCTTGGTGGGTTCCTGGCTCGTCTGAAGCCGTCGGAAGCCGTTTGGGGGGCCTCTATGGGCCGACTTGGGGCCCGCTTGGAATGCTCCAGGGCCGTCTTGGAGGCCATCTTGGGCGTCTTGGAGGCCATCTTGGGCGTGTTGGAGGCCTCTTGGGCCCTCTTGGGGCCTCTAGTGGGCCACTTGGGCGTCATCATGGGGCTTCTTGGGGGCCTCTTGGGCGATCTTGGGGGCTTCTTGGGCCGTCTTGAGCCGTCTGAAGCCGAAAAGGCGCAAATGCCAACAATCCTTCAAAAACCAGGAAGAAAACCAATGATTTTGGCCTCTTCGGACTCTCCTGGAGGACCTCTTGGAGGCCTCTTGGGCCGTCTGGGAGGCCTCTGGGGGGCCTCTTGGGCCGTCTTGGGCCGTCTTGGACTCTTGGGCCGTTTTGGAGGCCGTCTTGGACCATCTCGGGCGGACTTGGAGGCCATCTTGGGCCATCTTCGCGATTTTTTGAGGATGTCCCGAGCGAAACGGCCGTTTTTGGGCATTGACAGACGGATTTTGGGAAATGCGCGGGTGGCCGGCGGGACGGGCCGAAGCCCACTGGGGAGTTCTTTTAGAAAAAGAACCAAAACCAAAACCTGAATCATCCAGCACGCCGTGCACCCCTGTGGCAAGACCACAGGGGGCGGCGGATCGAAGACGCCTACGGCGAATCACCGCCGCCCCCTGCCCTTTCGGAAGCGCCGATGCGGCCGACTGCTGTGGCCAGAGGTCTGCCAAGTTATTGGGCCATATGTTCCCCGAATCGGTCTTTACAGCCTTCGGGGAACACGTGGGGGAGGACGGGGAGGAGAGGAGAGATAGGAAGGGAGGGAATGGAGGCCATCTTGGGCCATGTCTTGGGGCCATCTTGGGCCGTCTTGGCCATCTTGGAGCCAGGCCAGCCCGTCTTGGAGGCCATTTTGGCCGTCTTGGAGGCATCTTGGAGGCCATCTTGGCCATCTTGGCCGTCTTGGAGGCCATCTTGGGCGTCTTGGAGCCTCTTGGGCCGTCTTGAGGCCCTCTTGGGGCCTTCTTGGGGGCCTCTTGGGCCGTCATGGGGCCATCTGGAGCCTTTGGTGCTGTGGGGCGATGGCGGGGGCTCTTGGGCCGTCTTGGGCCGTCGAGAGCTGAAAAGAAGAACATGCCAAAATCCTTCAAAACCTAAGGAAAATCAATGATTTTAACCTATTCGGGCCTTCCTGGAGGGCGTCTTGGAGGGCTCTTGGGCCGTCTTGGAGGCCTTTTGCGGCCTTTTGGGCCGTCTTAGGCCATCTTGAGGCCATCTTGGACCATCTTGGGTGCATCTTGGAGCCATCTTACTCGTCTTGGAGGCCATCTTGGCCGTCTTGGAGGCATCGTGGAGGCCATCTTGGGCCATCTTGGCCGTCTTGGAGGCCATCTTGGGCGTCTTGGAGGCCTCTTGGGCCGTCTTGAGGCCCTCTTGGGGCCTTCTTGGGGGCGTCTTGGGCCGTCATGGGGCCATCTTGGAGGCCTCTTGGGTGCTGTGGGGGCGATGTTGGGGACCTCATGGGCCGTCTGGGGCCGTCGGAGAGCTGAAAAGAAGAACATGCCACAATCCTTGAAAAACCTAGGAAAATCAATGATTTTAACATATTCGGGCCTTCCTGGAGGGCGTCTTGGAGGGCTCTTGGGCCGTCTTGGAGGCCTTTTGCCGGCCTTTTGGGCCGTCTTAGACCATCTTGAGGCCATCTTGGACCGTCTTGGGTGCATCTTGGAGCCATCTTACCCGTCTTGGAGGCCATCTTGGCCGTCTTGGAGGCATCTTGGAGGCCATCTTGGGCCATCTTGGCCGTCTTGGAGGCCATCTTGGGCGTCTTGGAGGCCTCTTGGGCCGTCTTGAGGCCCTCTTGGGGCCTTCTTGGGGGCCTCTTGGGCCGTCATGGGGCCATCTTGGAGGCCTCTTGGGTGCTGTTGGGGCGATGTTGGGGACCTCTTGGGCCGTCTTGGGCCGTCGGAGAGCTGAAAAGAAGAACATGCCAAAATCCTTGAAAAACCTAAGGAAAATCAATGATTTTAACCTATTCGGGCCTTCCTGGAGGGCGTCTTGGAGGGCTCTTGGGCCGTCTTGGAAGCCTTTTGCGGGCCTTTTGGGCCGTCTTAGACCATCTTGAGGCCATCTTGGGCCGTCTTGGGTGCATCTTGGAGCCATCTTACCCGTCTTGGAGGCCATCTTGGCCGTCTTGGAAGCATCTTGGAGGCCATCTTGGGCCATCTTGGCCGTCTTGGAGGCCATCTTGGGCCAAGTTGGGGCAACAAAGGCATTGACAGATGGATTTTCGGAAACTTGCGGGTGGCCGGCGGGACGGGCCGAAGCCCACTGGGGAGTTCTTTTAGAAAAAGAACCAAAACCAAAACCTGAACCATCCAGCACGCCGTGCACCCCTGTGGCAAGACCACAGGGGGCGGCGGATCGAAGACGCCTACGGCGAATCACCGCCGCCCCCCTGCCTTTTTGGAAACGCCGATGTGGCCGAAAGTTGGACTAGAGCTTGGCCAAGCTATCGGACCATGAGTTCCCCGAGTCGGTTTGGAAAGCTTTCGGGGAACACATGGGAGAGAATGATTATGAACAGGAAGAGGAAGAGGAAGAAATAGAGTAGGAGGATGAGGGTTGTTAGGAGTCTCTTGGGGCACCCTTGGGGTCTGTTGGGGGCTTCTTGGGGGCCTCTTCGAGGCCTCTTGGAGGCATCTTGGGGGCCTCCTTGGGCCTCTTGGGGGCCTTTGGGGGCTTCCTGGGGGTCTCTTTGGCCGTCTTAGGGCGTTCCTGGTCCGTCTGACGCCGTCTGGAGCCGTCTTGGGGGCCTCTCTGGGCCGTCTTGGGGCCCTCTTGGGGCGCTTCAGGGCCGTCTTGGAGGCCATGTTGGGTGTCTTGGAGGCCTCTTGGGCCGTCTTGGGGCGCTCTTGGGGCCGTCTTGGGGGGCCCTTGGGGCCGTCTTGGGGCCTTCTTGGAGGCCTCTTGGGCGATCTTGGGGGCCTCTTGGGCCGTCGGAAGGCCGAAAAGAAGAAAACGCAAAAAACCTTCAAAAACCTAAGGAAAACCAATGATTTTGGCCTCTTCGGGCTCTCCTGGAGAACGTCTTGGAGGCCTCTTGGGCCATCTTGGAGGCATCTTTGGGCCATCTTGGCCGTCTTGGAGGGCATCTTGGGCCGTCTTGGAGGCATCTTGGAGCCATCTTACCCGTCTTGGAGGCCATCTTGGCCGTCTTGGAGGCATCTTGGAGGCCATCTTGGGCCATCTTGGCCGTCTTGGAGGCCATCTTGGGCCAAGTTGGGGCAACAAAGGCATTGACAGACGCATTTTGGGAAATTTACGGGTGGCCGGCGGGACGGGCCGAAGCCCACTGGGGAGTTCTTTTAGAAAAAGAACCAAAACCAAAACCTGAATCATCCAGCACGCCGTGCACCCCTGCAAGCAGGGGGCGGCGGATCGAAGACGCCTACGGCGAATCACCGCCGCCCCCTGCCTTTTTTGAAGCGCCTATGTGGCCGAACGTTGAGGCCAGACCTGCCAAGCTATCGGACCACGTGTTCCCCGAATCGGTTTGGAAAGCCTTCGGGGAACACGTGGGCATCTTGAAGGTCATCTTGGCCGTCTTGGAGGCCTCTTGGGCAAGCTTTGGGCGATCTTTGGGGCTTTTTGGGCCGTCTCGGACCAGCTTCGAGCCAACTTCGGCCATCTTGGTGGGTTCCTGGCACGTTTGAAGCCGTCGGAAGCCGTTTGGGGGGCCTCTATGGGCCGACTTGGGGCCCGCTTGGAACGCTCCAGGGCCGTCTTGGAGGCCATCTTGGGCGTCTGGGAGGCCATCTTGGGCGTGTTGGAGGCCATCTTGGGCCATCTTGGCCGTCTTGGAGGCCATCTTGGGCCAAGTTGGGGCAACAAAGGCATTGACAGATGGATTTTCGGAAACTTGCGGGTGGCCAGCGGGACGGGCCGAAGCCCACTGGGGAGTTCTGTTAGAAAAAGAACCAAAACCAAAACCTGAAACATCCAGCACGCCGTGCACCCCTGTGGCAAGACCACAGGGGGCGGCGGATCGAAGACGCCTACGGCGAATCACCGCCGCCCCCTGCCTTTTTTGGAAACGCCGATGTGGCCGAAAGTTGGACTAGAGCTTGGCCAAGCTATCGGACCATGAGTTCCCCGAGTCGGTTTGGAAAGCTTTCGGGGAACACATGGGAGAGAATGATTATGAACAGGAAGAGGAAGGGGAAATAGAGTAGGAGGATGAGGGTTGTTAGGAGTCTCTTGGGGCACCCTTGGGGTCTGTTGGGGGCTTCTTGGGGGCCTCTTCGAGGCCTCTTGGAGGCATCTTGGGGGCCTCCTTGGGCCTCTTGGGGGCCTTTGGGGGCTTCCTGGGGGTCTCTTTGGCCGTCTTAGGGCGTTCCTGGTCCGTCTGACGCCGTCTGGAGCCGTCTTGGGGGCCTCTCTGGGCCGTCTTGGGGCCCTCTTGGGGCGCTTCAGGGCCGTCTTGGAGGCCATGTTGGGCGTCTTGGAGGCCTCTTGGGCCGTCTTGGGGCGCTCTTGGGGCCGTCTTGGGGGGCCCATGGGCCGTCATAGGGCCTTCTTGGAGGCCTCTTGGGCGATCTTGGGGGCCTCTTGGGCCGTCGGAAGGCCGAAAAGAAGAAAAC